GTGGCTCAGAGGCCTTTGCGCTGGCGCTTGAGGAAGGAAAGAGTGTAGTCGCTAGGTGTAGACACCTTCTGCTTCTTCATCTGCACTTGCGACTGCGCCGTGAGCTGCAGCTTGATGGCGCTCGAGTTGATCTTGGTGGCCACCAGCAGCTCCTTCATGCCCTTCATCTTCTCGCTCTGGAAAGTGAGCACCGGCCCCTCCGGTGGTGGCGACGCTGCGGGCGCAGGGGCTGGAGCCGCGCTGCCTCCTTCTGGGCCGCGGGCAGTGCCTGGGACTGTCCCTGGGGGTTTCCGCGGGGGTCCTGACGTGGCACCCTGGCCGGAGCCCGGGCCCTTGTCCAGCGCCGGTTTCTTAGGCGGCGGCGGCTCCTCTGGCTTGGACTCACGCCGTGGGCCTCGCCGCCGTCCTTCCCGGGCTTCCTCGCCCCACAGCTCTTCCGCCTCGGCCGCCTCGGCCTCGCGGCTCACTATGCGCACCTTCTGCCGCACCTGGGCAGGGAGGAAACGCGGAGGGGAGGTTGCAGGCCAGTGGCCGGAACCCCAGGCCCAGCCTCGGCCATCGCGTCACCGGGCCTCAGTCTCATCTGCACCCAAAGGGGACAAGCAAACCCTCTTCAGGACCTCAAAGGTTCGGACTCGGTAGCTGCCGTCCCCCCCTGACCTCTCCCAGCATCCCTGTGCAGCTCCCCCTCACCTGCCCCTCAAATCGGCCTAGGGACTGCACGAGGAAGGTGGCCCAGCCCACGTGCAGCACGGGCGTGGGGCTGCCCTCTTCCCATTTGCAGATGCCATCATAGAATCGCAGCAGATGGGCGAAGCACTCTGGATCCTGGAGGGCGGAACTCTGGCTCTGGGCACCCTGGGCATGGGGAAAGGAGGGCACAGATCAGACCCACTTCATCACCCCGTATCACAGGGCATGGTCGGGGCCCCCTGCTTGGGCAAAGAGCCCTGGCTTCAAACGAGGAGAGCATAGGGGAAAAGAACTCTTAGAATCTCTTTCCTTTTATAAAACCAGTCCTTAGCCAGGGTGTGGGGGGAGAAACATCCCTTCCCTATATCCCACCCCCTCAATTGAATGAGGGGCACTGGCCATGAAAGAGATGGGCTTCCACCCCATTTACCTGAAGCCACAGGGGTAGAAACCCCTAAAATGCCCCCAGTTCCCTCACACCCGGGCCCAGGACCTCAGCTACTGCAGAAGAGAATGTAGCTCCCCGTGCTGGGCCACCTTCCCCTCGCGGGCCCGTCCCATGCAGCAGTCCCTGGGTCCTGTGACGGGCAGCCCTGCTCAGGTGGCCAAGGGAACAAAGGCCAGAACTCTTAGCTCTTCACCTGTGTCTGCTCCCCTGGCCGCTCCTCGCCGGCCTCCAGCAGGCTAGCTGCCTCCTTCAGCAGGTTGGGGATGACATCATTAGCTACTTCAAAGAACTCCTTGTAGATCTCCTCGTCCTCGCGGCAGTAGTTGTAGCTATGAGAGCAGGAGGGCACGGTGGGGTCTCGGTCATGGCAGGGACCCCCGGGGACCTGGTGAGTGGTTGGGGTCTTTACTCGGAAATGGTGGTATCTGTGTCAGCCCAGAGCAAGAGGAAGGAGGGGGGTCACGGGCTGGGGGGAAAGGTGTGAGGTGCTCATCAGAGGTCCCAGCCTCCTGGGTGATGGTGGCCTTCGCTGCCTGGGGACCAGATGGAAAGCGGATAGGGCTTGGGACCCAGGCCTCACTCCTGAATGAGGCGGGTTGGAAATGAGGTAGAAGGGGACGAAAGGCCGGGCTGAGGCCCTGTCGGGGGATCCTCACTCCTGGATGACAGTGGCCGTGTCAGCCCAGGCCTGCAGGGCTTCGCGCACATTGCGGTTGCGACAGTGGTAGCCAGCCAGGTACATGTAGGGGTAGATGTGCTCATCCCGGTAGTAGGTCTTGGCCGAGGCAATGCCCTGGGGACAGAGCAGAAGGATCTGAGAGAGGCAGCCCCAGTTGCCCTAGATGGCACAGATCCTTTTGGGTCACACCCGGAAGGAACAATAGGAAGATCCCAGAGAGTTCCACCTCCGATCTCCCTTCCACCACCTTCTATCCTCTCTACCAGATGCTCCTCCCTAGAGTCTGCAGGACTGCCTGCTGAGGCCTGGGTCACACTGTGGTGGGCAGGGACGCTCACAGAACTGGGCCTAGGAAAAGGGAGGGGCCCGCCCTCCAAGTCCCAGGCACATCCATTTTCCCAGGCTTCCCACACACTCCTACACAAACACCAAAGCCTTCTAAGCCGGGCCCAACGTCCGTCCTGTGCCCCGCCCCCACAGAATTAACACCCCCTCCTCAGTGCTCCCACCACATTTGACCTCTGTTACGCTCTAGGACAATGAGAGGTAGCAGAAAAAGCAGGGCTAAAGGAAGAAACTCAGGCCCTATCATCCCCAGGCCGGGAACCCAGAACACCACTCAGAGAGCCCCGACTGCACCGAATATGCACGTAATAAACACAAAATGGGGAACGGGTGGGTGACAGCCCCCAGTACACACAAAGTTCCTCTCTCCTCACCCACCACCTCCCGGTCCCCAGGGAGAAGGGGACCCCAGCCACTGCTGGGCTTCCCTTCTGTACCCTCCTGAGACGTCCCCACCTTGTGGTAGAGGGTGAGTGGGTCTGGTCGGCCAGGGGTGGGTTCCAGTTCCTCCAGATCTGCCAGGTTCCCCAGTGCCATGGGGTACCTGGGAAAGGGTCATGAGTCCAGGCTGCCTCCCAGCCCCCTGAGGCCCAGCCTGGCCACCTTCCCCTACTGACCTTTCCAGATGTCCCAGGTCATAGAGCAGCCAGAGCAGCTTCTAAGGGCCGAAGAGGAGAGGTGTGAGCTCGGGGGGCGGGGTGAGGAGGGCCTCAGTCTACCAGGCAGATGTGACTTCCAGCAGGGACCTCCCACCGGGTGGGAGCCAGCCCCTTCTTGGAGTCGAAGCCCTTTCGTGTCTCCGTTCCACTCTCCCAAGAGCCCCGGGGAAGGCCAGGCCCGGAATTACTAACCCGTGTTACCAAAGGGGAAGCTGGAGCTGAGGAAGGGGAGGGAAGGTGCCCCTGCCCAAGGCCCCACGGGCAGCCCTCACCTGCTGCAGCTGCAGCAGCTCCAGGGAGTCGGTGTGCAGGTCAATGGAAGGGTTGATGGCACACACCATAAACGCCACCTCCATCTTGCGGTCACAGCGCATGTACGATCCTTTCAGGTACAGCCAGCTCTTGGGAGAGGACAAGACCAGATGTCTCGTGATGGTTCACCGGTGCCTACTCCCGGGACCGACAGCCAGAAATGGGGCGCTCCCCTTCGTGGCATACACAGGTGGTGACAGGGAGAGGGGAGTACGGCCCGAGAAAGCAGAGCCTCTTGGGG